GAGGGTCCGCGCCGAAATGGGTCGGGGTCGGGGGCGCCACCTTGCCACAGGGGCCGTGGGCCATATGCCCTATGAAACCTACGAGCCCACGCGATCGCACCACCACCACCACCCACCCACCCCACCATCACTATCACCAACGACACTGCCACCAAAACCAAAAAAAACATCACCAGCGCGCAGACGCTGTGACACCAGCGCCTAGGCCAAGCTGCCCTTCGTCATCGGCGGCCACCGTGCGCGCGCGCACGCGCGCGCTCTTACCCCCACGACACGCACGTGCCGCCGCCGCCCGCGCGATCGACGCCGCCGCCGCCCCACTACCCACTTACCAGCCCCCCACTGCCACCGCGACCGCCACCACCACCACCTCATAGGGCCCATGGGTTTCACAGGCCCCCAATCACGAGGGCGGGGGCGAGGAGGGCAAGGGCGACGACGGGGGGGGGGGGGGGGGGGGGAGAAGGAGGAGAAGGAGGAGAAGGAGGATCAGGAGGAGGTAGAACAGGCAGGAGAGGGAGCAGGAGAGGGCGGGCAATGGGCACGGGGGGAGGGGCGAAAGCGAACGCAACTTGCCTCCTCATCCAACCCAGCCAGCCTCGAGCTCAATCTCGCCCGTCGCCTCGTCGACAACCTCCCCAATGGGCATGCCCTGGTACACTGGCTCGAACGGGTTGTATCTCATGGCGGAGATGTGCGAGATGAAGACCACCGAATCTGGATCCGCAAGCTGCCCATCTGCGCCAGCGGCTCGAACACCAAAAAACCTTATGAAGACGCGGCCGCTGCTCAGGAAGTCAGACCGTTCCCTCGAGCCGCGGCTGAAACATGATCGAATAACTCGGTTGATCGCATTCCTAAAACTGTAGTACTGCTTCCCAATCGCATATGTGCACATGCAAAAGCCAGCCTTCCAACGTTTTGAATACTTGGGCGCTGGACACCCAATCTTCGGAACGTCGGCATGTTATATGAGGGAATGTTTCGACTGCCAATGTGTGTCTAAGATCTTGCCAACGTTACACTCCTTGATGTTCTTGCCACGGCTAGAATGGCCTGCGTCGCGGTGGCAGAACATGCCGACCAGACGGGACGCCTCGCCGATCGAGCCCCCACGGAACGCAAGGGTTGAAGCAGAGCAGTCTGGAGAGACAACAGCACCATCACATGCGCTAGACGACAGCCCGATAGAAGGGCCCAGCGGGCGAAGATCAGGACGCAGCGCTTGCGCCGCCCACTCCAGGATTGCGCTGTCCGTCTGGCGATCCGTTCTGCGAGCCAACGCATTTCTCTCCTTGCAAGTTCTCCGTGCCACGGCAAGTACATGGGTGTGGTCTGGAGTCAGCTTGAGGATGTGATCTGCCATGGCCTCCGCATCGCAGTCGCCGCTGACAGCGCCTGGAAGTGCCACCGCAACGGCCAAATCATCACCGCGCCGAGCGTCACGTGCAAGTTGCTTTCGGGTCGGGCCGAACGCCCCTCGATGGCGCCCGCCCCCCCCCCCCCCCCCCCCCCCCCCCCTTTCTCAATGGATTGCTTCGCACTGATGGACAATTCTCTCAGCTGGCGCCGCTCCGCGGCCGTGGGGGCCCTGTAAGCAGACCCTCGGTTCGGGACAAACCCGCCCTTGCTGTCTCTCTCCACCATGACCGCGCTGAATGCCCTCCAGGAGTCTGCGTCTTCAGGCGCGGCCCCACCTTCTGATCGGCGTCGCCCGAGGGCTTCTGCACGCCAGGCATGGCGCATTTCTTGAGCGCCCGCGGGTAGTGGAAGCAGAATTCAGCCGATGTTCGCTCCAGTGAGGGGGTGTGCGTTTGATGCCCTCGCTTCAGCACCTGTCTGCGGCTGATGGCGTGGAGGCTCTCTATGTTTGCCATGTCAGTGTTGAGCAGAAGGGCAATGCACCGCAAACGTTGGTAGGCGTCCTCTGAATTCAAATCGTTCTCGCGCGTGAAAGCTTTGGAAAACTCACCCTTGATGCAATCGGGCTCATCCCCCAATGTATCTGCAAGCCCCCTGTCGCCCAGTAGCTTGAACAACCTGAATGGGCATGTCGTCGAAGGTTGCGCCATCAACAATTCCATGAGGACACCAGCGCGGGAAATCATTTTGAACGCAGTCGCAGCTGTCTGCACGCAATGGGCAGACTCAGGGGCTAAAGAGAACAGCTCAGGATTGTCGAACAGCTTGCTGAGGAAACAGAACTCTCCAACAACTTCTGCGCCACAACCACGACCCTGCACGTGCGCCCTTCAACGGGGGGGGGGGGGGGGGGGGCTATACGCAGTCTGAGCAGCCCGAACTTCTGCGAGTAATTGTGCTCTCTCCCATGCCCCCCTCGCCCCCCCCCCCCCCCCCCCCCCCCCCATGCATCTCAAAGCCATGCGGTGCTTGCGGAGAGGCTCCATGGCAAGGCGGGTCAGTATGGGGAACGTATCGGGGTCGCTCTGTAGGAACCTCAACCCGCACCTGCGGTGCTTTGCATTTTCGTTGGCGCGATCATTGCCCGCCGCCCCTGCGGCCCCCTCTTCTCCTTCCCCCGCCCGAATCGGCAACGGGCGAACCCGAACTGTGTCCCGATCGGCATCTGCATCGCCAACGTCGGAGTCGCCGTCTCCCTCGCCAGCCCGACCGAGACCATGAAAGTCAGGAGCGGCATCGCAATCTGCATCGGCGCCCCCGCCGCGCTGACTATCGCAGCTGACGAACGAGGCGACGTACTCAGGGTAGACATTGACAAGTAAACCATGCACGATTTGTAAAATTGCGATATCACCAATAACTGTCTCACACCCATCCCACCTGGACTTGGCGTAAACGAACGGCTGACAAGATGCCAAACCAAAAACCAAACCATCTGCGATCTCTTTTGTTCGCTTGAGCTTCGCTGCTGGACTCTCGAACGGCACAGGGGCGCAATGCTCGATGCACGCGCGGTTGCTCCAATCGCCGCTCGCGAAACACTTCAATGCAGCGACCCTCTTTATTGCAGCCTTCCCGCCAAAGAAGACACGCACTGCGTTTGCTTTCCACTGGGTCGCATCAACTGGCGGCATACCCACTCTGAAATCGATGTTGCCAGGTTTCAAAATCCATTTTCTCAGATACTTCCTAAATTTCTCCAGCTCGCCTCCGATCCTCAGCGACTTCGCTAAATGCGTCATGTCTGTGATCGCGTCATCGACAATGACGAAAACAGACACATGTATTGTGGCGCAAGTGTGCACGCGGCAATTGAACCTGAGCGATTTCCACTTGTCACCACGTTCTGAAAGAATACAGCTCTGCCCGTGAATTGCCTGAGAACTTGTCAGTCGTCGCGGGCCGCGTGCGATGCTGAAACTGCAGGCACTCGAGCGACGAAGCCGAACTCTCGTTGAGCATGTGTTTGATAACATCACCAGTCATTATATCACCAGCCAGCGACCATGTCGAACGTCCGCCCCCCAAGAGCACATAGTCGTGTCCAACTTCACGTTTGATCTTGGCCAACATGGCAAAATATGATTCGGTCTGCATCACTTTCAAACGGCTTTCTCCCGAACCTTTGAACGAGCAAGCTGCGGCACCATGAAGTACAACATCCGAACAAGACGGTTCAATCAACTCTGCCAGTGCGGTAGAGCTCTCACTGATAATCTGTCGCAGAAGGTCTTGGCGCACCCTCATCGGAAGCGGGGTCTCGTCATACCTGGCTAAGTCGAAATATTCCAGAAGCTCGATATCACCACAAAGTTTAGAACACTGCTTTTCAACATCTGCTTGTTTGAGTCTGCCGAATAAAGTGCAGGCCGATGCTAATCTCATAACTGTCCGCGTCACTTTCTTCCTGTCAACACCTGTGGACTCGCTCAGGGCAGAGTCTGAGATGTACGGGGTTTTGCCACACCCTTTGGGCAAACTCGATATCGTGGCACTGATATTCATGATTTCATCGTCCAGCTCGTCGTCGCCAGCCTCGGTAGAAAATGTGTCGCACGCACTGATGTGGTCCATGACTGGGCTGGCGACGAATGGCGTTGCTCTGTTCATTGACAGCAACGCCATCGAGAGGTCGTCTGGGACGGGTAACACAATTTTCTCATCCACTCTGTGTTCTTTCTTGCCAAGCGGGGCGACGCACATATCATCAGGGGCTGGTCGTTTGGGTCGCCCCCGCGGCTTCGGCCTCGGAGGGCCAGCCGCGGCGCACATGTCGCTAACATCGTAGGACATGGTGGGGGGCGCCGCAAGAGTACCAACTTCCATAGAGAGGAGCTCTTCCCATTCGTCGGCGCCCCCCGCGTCGGCGGCACCCTGCGCCATGTCCGATGAGAGACGTTCCTCCCACTCAGAAGCTGCATTAGAATCATCCGGAATCTGCGACATCTCTGCCGCGAGTAGTTCATCCCATTCGTTTCCGTCCATGATATGTGGCGCTCACAGCATGCGCACAGTGTTTCACAAGACAACAAAAACATGGCAAAGCAAAGCTCAAATTGTTGCGGGCGATGATACTACGATGAAGTGATGGCGACGTCGATATCAGACATGGCGCACCGTCTGTGAGCGAGAGATACGTGTAACCCGTGTGTGAATGTACACCGAGGGTGTGCCACGAGTATATGCGAGGCAACTTCTGGGAACCTTAACGGGGCAACAACATGTCATGATGACGTGTTTGTAGCTCGAGTGAACATAATGCCACGCTGTATAATACCATGGACAAGCACTTCATCACAAAAACGCAAACACATGCGATGACAAAACTATACCACCTTCATCAATAACATCATTTCCGTGCGAGCATTCGTTGAAGACTTGTGCAGAACTATATAACCAAACACAATGCGACAATATACTAAAATCCACATGCGTACACATGTTTCTTGAGTAGTTCGCAAAAGTATGTTCAGTCAAGGGAAACGTTCCAGACTAGTTCATAGGACTACTTCGCACACTATTTCTGGAGTAAATTAATTATTTTCCTGGAACAAGCTCCTCAGGGAGCGCTGAACATCTCAAGTCGGCGGCGGCGGCGATCTCAACGGCGGCGGGCCCCACCGGAACGCCGCCAGCGCGGTTGCGCACGAGAGCCCCGACGTCGAAGACACCGGGCGCTGTGCCCACCAGCTCGAAGCTGCGGCGGCGGGGAGGGGGGCGGGGGCACGGGGAGGGAGGAGGGAAGAAGGACGAGGGAGGGGGCAGGAGGGACGAGGGAAGAGGGAGGAGGGAGCACGAGGGCGAGGACGAGAGGGAAGAGAATCTCGAGGGGAAGACGCGGGAGGAGAGAGCGAGGGGGCACGAGCGGGGGAGGGCGGGCGGGCGCCCGCGCCCGCACGCGCGCGTGAGAGAGAGAGAGGTGGAGTGAGCGGCAGGTCGAGCAAGCAAGCGCGCGTCTGTGGGCGGCAGGCGGACCTGGGCCAGAAGAGGAGGAGGAGCATCCTTCAGGAACCTGAGGCCCTCCGTCGGCCAAAACGAACGGAGCATCCAGGGGTAGGTGCCCTACCCATTAAGCACAAGAACATCCAACACACACACACACACACGAAGGACACTGGGGTAATTACACTCCCCGAACCGACCTGGACCTTTTCCCCTGGTCCGACTGTAGCGGTGCAGTGGGCGGTTGCATGGCTGAGCTGAGAAGCGGGATAACTAAACAAACGACACGGCAGTATGCCCGCAACGAGCGTCGCAAGAAACGCCAGAAGAGCGCTTGCCGCTGCACCCACTTGCACCCAGATCCGCCCAGATGCACCCAATCGTACCCAACTACAACTAGTTGCATCCCGTTACGCCCGATGACACGTAGTTTCACAAAATTCCACCGATCTGCCGTAAGTTCCAGTCTGATGCTGCAAATGCGATTCGCACAATACTGCAAGTAATCCGAATGGTACTGCAAGCGCCCCCCTCCTCGGAAAACCCGGCGCCCAGGGGAACTTATGTACAAAGCTAGCTTGTTGTACAGGAATGATCCCTGGGCCTCTGGCATCCGGCAAAGGCGAGACCTCGACCCTCGAACCTCATCACCACCTCGGCTCCAGTCCTTCGATCATCGCCAAAACCTCGCTCCCCGAAACACGATCCTCGATCCTCCTCAAAACATCGACCCTCGAGCCTCGAGATCATCTCAGTTCTCGATCCTCGGCTATCGCCAGAACTTCGATTGCTGAAATGACGGTCCACGATCCTCCTCGGTGTCCGACCTGTCGATCTTCACAAAAAACATAAGTCGAATTCCGATCCTCGACCCCATTAAACTGTAATCACTCCCATACACCCCACCATCATCATCATCAGCACCAGCATCATCATCACAATCATCAGCACCACCACCACCATCATGATCACCACCATCACCATCACCATCATCATCACCATCCATCATCATGATCATCACCACAATGATCATCAGCATCAGCATCAGCAGCATCATGCGCATCATCATCATCAACATCATCAGCAGCAGCATCATCGTCGTCGTCGTCATCAGCAGCATCATCATCAACAGCCGCATCAGCATCAGAATCGTCATCACCACCACCATCAGCATCACCATAGTCGTCGTCTTCCTCCTCAGCGATATCATCACCATCACCATCAACACCACCATCACATCAACGTCCTCCGCATTAGCACCACAACACCATCAACATCATCACCATCACCATCACCGTCACGATCACTATCGCCATTGACATCATCATCATCATCATAATCAGCATCATCATCATCATCATCAGCATCAGCATCATCATCATCATCATCATCATCATCATCATCAGCATCATCATCATCAACATCATCGCCGGGAATTGGAAGGACGCACGCGACGCCGCGGGATCTATCAGGGGCAGAGGCATCGGAGGCCAAAGGAGGGCAGCCAGCCACCGCCAGCCAGCCGCCGAAGCCAGCAAGGGGGGGGGGGGCGAGGAAACTTCTGTACACAATGCTTGCGTTGTACAAAATATCCGCCTTCGCGCTCCTCACAATGACCACCATCACCATCACCATCACAATCGCAACAAGCATAACCATCCTCATCCTCGTCCACATCATCATCATCATCATCATCATCATCACCATCATCACCATCATCATCATCACCATAATCACCATCATCACCATCACCATCACCATCGACACACTCACAATCATCGTCATCATCATCACCATCACCATCGTCATCGTCGTCATCATCATCACCATCATTACCATCACCATCATCACCATGGCATCATCATTATCATCATCCTCATTCTCATCATCATCATCAACATCATCGTACTGGGGAATTTGAAGAACCCGCGCGAAACCGTGGGTTTCTCCCAGGGCAGAGCCATCTGAGGCCTGAGGAGGCCATGGGCGCCCCCCGCCCCCCGCCCAGCGCCGACGCTGGCCGCGGGGGGGCTGGGGGAAATTCTGCACACAAAGGTGGCTGTGCACCGAATTTGCACCTACCTCATCATCACCACCATCATCATCACCATTACCATCACCATCACCATCATCACCATCACCATCATCATCATCATCATCATCATCATCATCATCATCATCATCATCATCATCATCATCATCATCACCATCACCATCACAATCATCATCATCAGCATCATCATCATCAGTGTCATTACCAGCATCATCACCATCGTCACCAGCATCATCACCATCTCCATCATCATCACCATCATCAACATCATCATCGACATCACCATCATCATCAGAATTACCACGATCACCATCACTTGCAGAACCCGCCAACAAGCCGTGGGCTCCATCAGGGGCAGAACCATCGGAGGCCAGAGGAAGCCAAGTGAGGCCCCCCCCCCCCACCAACCGCCGCAGCGTGCAATGGGGGGTGGCGGGGGAAATATTCGAACACAAGTAGGCTCTGTACCAGATTGTCCCCATCCTCGTCATAGTCGCCACCACCATCAGCATCACCATCAAATCAAAGTCACCTGCACCACCACCATCACCATCATTATCATCATCACCACCATCACTACCATCCTCATCAGAATGATCATCATCATCACAACCACCACCACCACCACCATCATCATCATCACCATCATCGTCATCATCACGATCATCACAAGCACCATCACCATCACCACCACCCCCATCACCAACACCATCACCATCACACCATCATCATCACCACCATCATCGGAAATCGGAAGATACCGCGCGAGCAGAGCCGTCGAAGGCCAGAGGAGGCCACAAACAAATCGGGCGCCCTCCGCCGAAGCCGGCCCGGCGGGGAGGGGCTGGGTGGGAAATGTAGAAAAAACGCTTTTATCAGAAATTGTAACATCCTCATCATCGTCAGCACCAGCATCACCATCATCACAGCCACCACCATGCCTTTGTCATTTTCATCATCATCCTCATCATCATCCTCATCAACATCATCGTTATCATCATCGGGCCAGAGACATCCATCAGGGTCAGACACATCAGAGGCCAGAGGCCATTGGAAGAGGCCCCCGCTCCACCGCCGAGACAAAAGCTGGCCTTGTACAGAACACCCCCCTTCCTCGTCATCATCCTCATCACCACCACCACAACCATCAGCACCATCATCGCCGTCGTCGTCCCCCTCTTCCTCCTCCTCCTCCGCCTCCTCCTCCTAATCATCATCATTATCAGCATCGTCATCATCGTCGTTATCATCGGCATCATCGTCATCATCGTCCATCATCGTCATCATCGTCATCATCGTCACCATCACCATCACCCTCACCATCACCGTCACCGTCATTATCAGCGTCATCATCAGCATCATCTTCGTCATCGTCTTCGTCATCAGCATCATTGTCATTGTCCTCGTCATTGACATTGTTGTCGTCATCGCAATCATCATGACATCATCATCGTCAGCATCAGCGTCATCATCACCTTCACCATCAGCATCATCATCAGCCGCATCATCAACATAATCATCATCATCAGCAGCATCAGCATCAGCGTCAGCATTAGCATTACCATTAGCAGGATCAGCATCACCATCATCATCATCATCACCATCAGCATCACTATCGTCATCATCATCGTCAGCATCATTAGGCTATATTATCAAGAACATCATCATCACCATTAGCAGCAACATCCATTATCAACGTAATTACCAGCATCAGCATCAGCATCAACATCAGCATCATCAGCATCCTCAATATCCTCCTCCTCCTCATCCTCCTCCTCATCCTCATCCTCATCCTCATCCTCATCCTCATCCTCATCATTGATCATCGTGATCGCCACCCTCATCGTCATTGGCGGGGTGAACGCGGCCGCCAACTCCGAGCCGAAGGAGTCCACGGGCAAGCAGCCGGTCACTCCGGCGACAAGGCACCAGGAGCTAGAGGGCCAGGTGCGAACCCCGCGGCGGCTCTGGCGGCCCCCTGCAGGGCGGCCCACGCCGAGCGCCCCGGCGCCAGTGACCTCTGGGGTCGTACGTCACCAGCCTCCTCGGCGGCGGCGGCGGCCGGCCTGGCAGGCGCTGGGCTCGCAGCTGTGGCGCGGCCCGCGGCGAGCGCCCTGGCGCCAGTGACCTGAGGAATGGTAAGCTGCCAGCCTCCTCGGCGGCGGCGGCGGCGGCGGCCGGCCCGCCAGGGTGGCGCCGGGGTCGGCGGCTCCGGCGGCCACCTGGTGCGGCCCACGGCGGGCGCCCCGGCGCCAGTGACCTACAGCCATCGTGCTACCATAGGGAACGCATAATAAGGAACGAATGGGCTTTTCTGGCCACGGCGGGCCTAATTAGGCCACAAACAAGTTTCACGGCATAATTCTAAGGAACGGCCCGAAAACCCGAGCCCCTCCCGAGCACAAAGCGGTCTTTGCTTCAGCGTCTGAACTGTAAGGAATCATAGGTCACCCACCTCCACGGTCGGCGGCGGCCAACGTCGCTGCCGCCGCCACGGCAAAAGGAAGTCGCCCGCGTGCTGCTGATGACGTGGCCAGCGCTGCTGGAATGCTGGAGGCTGGTTCGCAGGGCGGAGCTGATGATCGGAGTTCAGCGACGAGAGCGGCTAGAGCTGGAGCAGACAGTCCCTCGGCAGAAGCCCTGCCACCTGCCGTCGCAGGCCGATCGCCACCGTAAGCTGCGCCGCGAGACAGTCACCTGGGCAGCGATGCAGCCTCATGGGCCAGAGCCGTTCTGCGGACGTGACGAGTGCCAGTCGAGCAGTAGCCGCGCGCCCCAGCCAGCAGGCGCCCCAGCCCTCCTGGCAGCGGCGGGGCTGGCAGCAATCCGCGAGGCCAGCAAAGAGGACGAGCAGGAGTGCAGCGAAGAGGAGCGGCCCGGCAGGAGGCAGCGCACCAGTGCAGCAGCAAGCGAGCTCGACGGCCTCGAGACAGCGACGACGAGCCCCTGGTCGAGGCCGTGCCGCCTCCACACGAGGCTCCGCGGCCTCCCCCTCGGCGACACCAACGTCTCTTCGCCAGTGCCGGGCCGACGCCGCAGCGAGGCGACGACAAGAGGGCTCGCGCGGGCGCCGCCGCGCTCGCGGCCAGGCGTGCCGGCGGCCTGGAGGGCGACGGGCGCACGCCTCCCATGGCAGAGGGCGTGGGCAGGAGGGCCTCCGCGCGGCTACGGCAAGTTCGTGTCGTGTCGACCCCGGCGTTGGTTCCTGACACCGCGGGGGTGGTTCAAACTTGAACGAGCGGCCGTTCCGTGAACGCCGGATCGTTCAACGACGGGCTAATTCTAAACCACGGGCGGCGTTCAAGCTTACACGCACGCGCTGGTGTCGCCGCCGGTCGGCACGACGCGACCCTGCCGTACAGCGAGGGGTGGGCCCACAGCTGCTCGTGCCAGACGACGTGGACCTGCAGGGCGGCAGCGCGCCGCTGCGGCACAGGCGTCGTCAGGCGTCCTTGCCCGCGCTCGGCGTTTCAACCCCCCCTTCCCCCTGGCTTTTGGCTGGGGCGGCGGGGCCGGACAGGTGGTGTGCAGCCAATCCCTAGGCCCTAGACGAGAGATCGATGCAGGTGATTACGGGGCCCCAGTGGATGGGCGGAGGGCCACGGTGCAGCTCGGGCGGCCCAGCCGAGCCACAAGCTGATGGCGTTCGGCACGGCAGTCTTCTGCCAGCTCTGCGGCGCGCGCAACGCGGGCGGGCCCACGATGCTGCTGGGCGAGACCTGCCTGCGCGAGCCTGGCGACAAGAACGCGAAGACGGGCCACAACCACATGCGGACAGGCCGACACCAGCTCACGCACGAGTTCGTCGGCGACCTAATCAAGCATCTCCGAGCCGCTGGTGACCGAGTGGACGGCAGCTGGGGCGCCTCTGCAAGCTCAGCATCGCCAGCGACCACGGGGCAAGCAGCTGCGACGAAGGCGACCAAGTCATGCTGGACGAGGGAGGCTGAGTGGCCCGTGGGGCGGGCCCGTGCCTCGCGTTCGGCCGCCGCGGCCGAGCGCCCTCGAGCGGGGGGGACCCGAGACCCTCTCACGCGCGGCCTGCTTGCTACTCCCCACCCCCTATGCTACCCTCCACCTTACCCACCGTCATCTCTCTACACCATCCTGTCCTTCCCTACCTCGAACTCGGAGTTGCACAGACATTGGCGGGATGGCCGTTGCGCTTATCCCATCCCTCCTCCTCCTCCTCCTCCTCCTCATCATCATCATCATCAGCAGCATCATCATCATCGTGGTCGTCATTATCATCAGCATCAGCATCAGCATCAGCATCATCATCATCATCATCGTCATCATCATCCTCATCATCATCAGCATGATCAACATCATCAGCATCGTCAGCAGCAGCATCATCATCAGCATCACCGTCACCATCACCATCATCATCATCATCATCATCATCATTATCATCATCATCATCATCATCATCATCATCATCATCAGCATCATCATCAGCATCATCATCATCATCGTCGTCATCGTCATCATCAGCAGCATCATTATTATCCTCAGCAGCATCAAAAATCGCCAGCATCATCATCAGCAGCATAACCATCACCATCATCATCATCATCATCATCATCATCATCATCATCAGCAGCAGCAGCAGCAGCAGATCAACCTGATCACCAGCACAACAGCATCATTATCAGCCTCATCATCATCATCACCATCACCATCATCATCATGAACAACATCCTCGTCATCACCATTATCACCATCACCATCATCATCATCAACAGCAGCATCACCATCATAAACAGCATCCTTATCCGTATCATCATCATCATTATCATCATCATCAGCATCATCATCACAATCAGCATCATCATCATCATCATCATCATCATCATCATCATCATCATCATCATCCGTATCATCAGCATCCGTATCATCATCAGCAGCAGCATCATCATCATTAGCATCAGCAGGATCATCACCATCACAATCAGCATTGGCATCGTCATTATCATCCACATCATCATCATCAGCATCATAATCATCATCATCATCATCATCATCAGCATCATCATCATCACCAGCATCGTTATCGTCATCAGCATAGTCGTCAGCAGCATCATCAGCATCATCAGCATCATCAGCATCATTAGCATCATCACCATCACCATCATCAGCATCATCATCAGCATCATCATCATCATCATCATCATCATCATCTCCCAAACATCCCCTCTTTCTTACTCTCTCCCCCCTCCCCCCTCCCCTCCCTTTCTCCCAACTCATTCCCTCATCCCATCATTCTCTCATTCCTTCCTCCTCCTCCTCCGATCAGACGGCGACGGCGACGATGACGGAGACGACGAGAGCAGATAGCGGCGTCCTGCCAGCTCCTCCATCAGGGTTCCCGCCGCATGGGATGAACTCGCGCGACAAACCAGGCGACATCGCAGCCGCCGTCGTCGTCCAAGGAGAAGGGGGGGGGCAAAGGGAGGAAGAGGAGGGGGAGAAGGAGGAGGGAGGAGGGACGAGGGAGGCGGACTATCAATCGAACTGGCGAAATTAGATCATGTCCCACGTGGCTGTGACCGCCCCGCCGCGAGCGCCGCCACTCCGAAGGGACGAGGGAGCGCAATGGAATGGACCCCATCGCGATGCCATCAGGAGGGACCGACGGAGGCGGGACCGAGAGAGGAGGAACTGATGGGGAAGCAGGGAGATATCGAAATAGCGCTGCTCCACAGACCTCTCCCGAGGTGCGCCCCGACCAGGATCCCGAGGCGAACCCAGCCGTGGCGACGAGGGCCTCCCGGGAGGCCTCAGCAAGGCGAAACCGGGGAAAAGGGCAGCGGCATCGGTACCTTCTCCTCGGCGGAACTGAAGGATCGGCGGCGACGAGAAGGGCGAATAGCCCAGGGGCGGGCATTACACGCATTCGCCCGGGAGCCTTGTCGAAGACATAGGTCATCGGCGCCCCTGGATACATGCATTGCTCTCCCCTGGGCTATTCGCCCCTATCGTCGGTTCTGAAAGGAGGGGAATGAGGGACGGACGAAGAGGAACGAGGGGCGGGAGGGAGGGCAAGGACGAGGGGCGGAGTGGGGGGACGAGGGGGAGGAGCGCCGGCGAGAGCAGAAGGCCCCGGGAGGCGGGAGGCAGGGGCGGGGCACGGGGGCCGAGCGTGGCGCGCGAGGCGAGCCCGCGATGTATCCGCTGCGCTCTCGGGGCGGCTGCCACGTGAGCGGCGATCGAAAGCGAGTCTTACGCGAGATGGCATAGCGACCTTACGCGGTGGCTTACGCGTGGCGCCAGCGCGGCACGCCACATCGGTAGCGGAGGCACGCACGCGCGGCCTTGCGCGGGCAGCTTACGCGCCAGCGTCGGCGCAGGCAACCACGTTTTTGTTGCGTCGCCCATGTGGGGCCTGCTCTAGAACAGAAGCTTTTTGGTCAGCGGCCGCAAGAGAGCCAGACGGTGGTCGAGCAACATTGGGACGCGCCGGGGCTCAGTAGGACACGACGGGCGAGAGGCGCGAAGAGGCGCGAGACGGCCGGAAGGGCCTGGGGGCGATGGAGCCACACTCAGGCCACGAACAAAAATCAAAATCTAATACAGGAACACAACGGTGGCGGGTCGACCTTTCCCCGACCTCGTGCTGCGCAGAACGCAACGGCCGCGTTGTCTGTAGTTTTGTTCACCCCGGATGTGTCTCCAGACGTAGCGACACCCAGCGTATCTAAAGACGCTCGTAGCTGGAAGGTGAAAACGATATGTGGCACAGGCCCCCTGTTGAATTCAAATGAACGACGGTCAAGCACCGAGTTTTACGCGAGATGGCGAGATGGCACAGCGACCTTACGCGGCAGCTAACGCGTGCCGCCAGCGAGGCACGCCGCAGTTGAGACGAGGGCGCTATCGCGCGACCTTATGCGGGCAGCTCACGTGCCAATGTCGGCGCAGACGACCCCGTCTTTTTGGTGTCACCCAAACAGCCGTTGTTATCCAACCACTTCGAACAGGCTCGCCGATGAGGGGCCGGGGAGCAAGGCCAACTATCTTCGCGCTGCGCGCTGCGAGAAGCGCGAAGAACACCTCGTGCTATTGCGGTGCCGCCCCCCCGGGGAAAAGAGGGGTCGGCGGCGAGCAAGGGGGGGAAGTAAGAAGGAACGGGCCTACTCGCAAAATAACTACTCGCGTTCCACTACTCGCAGCAGAACTACTCGCAAATGGCCTGGACCCGCCATGGGGGATTTACGATACATTAAATCGATGCAGGCATGAGTTCTTTTCGGACGTTTGCGGTAGGCACTTTGCGAATAATGGAACGCGCTCGTTGATTCTCAGAAGGCTCGGAAATCCCCCAGCCTACCGGGAAGTACCTTGAGCCCTCCCCGAAGACAGCGAAGACTTCTGCAAATCGCGCGAGGGCTTCTGAAAAGACCCGCCGATCTCTGAAAAAGCCTTCTCTTTCTCACTTCCCCCCTCTCTCGCCGCCGACAGAGAGCGACGAGAATGAGTATGAGGAACCGCAAGTCCCGTGATGTATCCGTTGCTCTCTGCGGAGTAGAGAAACCTAAGACGATGCCAGGACGAGGATAACATCGGGGATCTCTGAGATCCAGCGGCTCCGGAGGATCAGAGCGTTCCGAAACGCCCTGAGAGCGCCCAGCAACGCTCTGAAACGGATTTGTCCTCGTTCTAGCCCCGCCCGAAGGAATCCCCCTCCATATATCGGGTGCGCCGAAAAGGGAGGGAGGGTCAGGGAACGCCTCGGAGGGCCAGGGAGGGAAGCAGCTTCTGGGAGGTCTTTGCAAGAGCTATTCAGGGCTAGTGCTAGTGAGCCCGACTGATGGGCCGTTGAGCCAAACTACCCCAAATTCACCAGGGAAGTGAGCCAAATCAAGCCGGACTCAGCGGGATTGAGGGGAACTAAACAGCTCTGTCTGGGATTAGGCTGGTTTTCGAACTCGGAAATACCAGCGCCGATGCTGAATTTAACCTCCCAAGAATTGCATCCAAAAAAACGGGTTGGCTCATCATGGTCCAAGGAACGCATCGAAATAATAGGAGAGGGGCCCCTAGTCATCACCCCTCTTTTGGGCGCCTCCGACCCTAGCAAACCATGTTTTACGTCGCAGTGCACCAGAAGCAGTCCGCACGCACGCTCGGGCAAGCCAGGCGACGGCATTGCGAATTGCCCGGATGCAAAAGGGGAAGGAGGGAGAAGAGCTGACAGCCGCGGCAGGAGGGGAAGGAACTATTGCGCCCACGCAGCGGAGGCCGCAGCGGGGCGCTCAGGGCGGCCAAGCCGGCCCTACCAAAGCACCCTTCATTGAAAACGAACCGGGGCCAAGCCTGGCTGGCGCCGACCCGCAACAATGACGGCCACCGTGCTGGTCCCCAGGGAAGAATCCAGAGCTCCAGGGGCCATGTTGCGACAAAAAACAGCGCTCGAGCTATGGGAGAACGGAGGAGGCGAAGGCAGGGGGGAAGGAGGTGAGCGACAAGCAAAAACGGGTCTTACGCGAGATGACGTAGGGACTTTACGCGGCAGCTGACGCGGGCCGCCAGCGCGAAACGCCAGTGGAGACGAGGGCGCTCACGCACGACCTTACGCAGGCAGCTTACGCGCCAATGTCGGCGCAGTCGACACCGTTTGTTTGCGTCGCTCCCAGATGGGAGGAATAAGGATCCCAAAGGGAATGTGCAGCTTGAACGGCCTCAGCTTGAAGCTTGGGACCGCTCGTCAAGCCAACGTAAAGCTCGACCTAAGTAATGTGTTCGTAATGCATTCTTCTCGTTTTGACTTCGTACCACCGTTGCTGCAAAACGACATCGAAACGAGCACGGCCAACGAAATCTCCCAAAACGCAGCTTAGGTCGAACCCTGGGCCCGTGTGCGTGGATACGCGGATGTGTCGCTTCCACTGTCCAAGGAAGGGAAGGAGACGGGAAGAAGGGAGGCAGAGGAAAGAGCGACCGAGCAAGCAGGCAATCTCCATGAGTCCTGCAGTGAGTTCTTGCAGGCCGCCAGACAGAGCGACAGTAAATGAGGAGGAGGGGGGGAGGGAGAGGAGGAGGGGGAGGAGGGGGAGGGGGAGAGGGGGGGGAAGAGAAAGGGGAGGAGGAGGGGAGGGGAGGGGGGGAGGAGGGGGGGAGGAGGGGGAGCAGGACATGCCGACGAAAGATGCAAGGCCGTCTCGGCGCGTCCGCTCGTCAGCACAGTTGCTCTTGACCGCACCCCGAGCCCCCCGCGCCGCTCCACTACGATGCAGCTGGCCAGCCTCCTGACCCCTCCAAGGAGGGGTAGCTGGAGACGAGCGCGAGCGTGGGCAGCAGCAGGCCAGAGAGGAGAGAAGCATCGGAGTAGGAGCTGCGGGAGGACGACCGTTTCGCCCTCCTCGCCCTCCCTCCCCCTCTCTTCAGCAACAAGGAGGTCGAGGAAAAAGAAGGAGGAAGCAGGAGGAGGGAGGAGGAAGGAGCGCAGAAGGGGCCGCAGCAGATGGGTGGTGGATACGCGGCGCAGTAGCAGGAGCAGCAGCGGGAGGCGGAGACCAGCCACTGGAAGCAGGAGGGGGAGGAGAAGGACCATCTGAAGGAGCAGCAGCAGTAGGACACTCCTCCGCTCTCCGCCCTCCTCCTCCTCCTCCTCCTCCTCCTCCTCCTCCTCCTCCTCCTCCTCCTCATCCTGCTCCTCCTCCTCCGCCTTCTCCTCA